GATTCTACAGTGTCTACCATATGGAGTGTTGTCCATTCGATCGCCGATACTAATATCTTACATCAGAATTCTCAAGCCCTTTGTTGGAGGTCTCTGGAGGCCGACTGGAGCAGCTCGTACAATTAATCTTTAACTTCTAAGGCACAAAATAATTTTCCGAATATTTATATAGTAGGTGGGTAAGGTTATCTACGGTTCTTTAAGGAAACACTTACTAATTTAGTTCGTTATTGCTACAAAGGTACAGTCAGAGCTGGCTGGCTGTTTTTGTTTTGTTACCATTTTCATTCATACACCATTTCCATATGGATGAACAACGGCGAACAGCAAAAGTGTACAAATATGTTGCTAACTCGGTGGAGTAATTAGAGAGATTGCATTATTAAGTTTGGAAGTTTTTACAAGGAAGTCTTCACTAAGACTTATTAGAGTGATTTGAGTGGTTTCGCCGTTAAGTGAGTTGATGGTTGTTGTAAAGTAACGAGGGTTCAGAACTTGATATAAACCGTGAAATTAACGAAAGCTTACGTTAAGTATGTAGTTCCCGTTGGGAGGGATTCTTCATATATACATGAAACAAAAATGGCTATAAAACAAAAAACGAAATGAAGAGGATCAGTGTAATACAAATACCCAACATCGCTTATTATTTGCTAAATAACAAACACATTTATATTTCATTAGTAAGTATAGCTCATGCTTGCCTTCAGTATTGGGATGCTATGCAGGAAAAAAGCTGGCAAATATGTCAAAAAAATGGAAAACAATTTTTGCCAAATACGAAAATTTGGAATATGTCTAAATAGTGTGGTGAAGTCTTGTGCGGGAAGCTAGAAGGTTGTTCGTGAATTTTGAGTAGGTATCAAGAAAGTCAGTAGTCTTTAGGAACTAAAGTAACGCTATCATTCATCATTTATCGTTTACCCTTCTGTTTTCGTCAAGTTTCAGTACCTTTATTTGTGATGTGAGGTAACTGAAATGGAGCGTATCACTCTAATCGTATAATGAAACAGATATGAAATTTCGAAAAATTATAAGAACTAGAAAATATCGGGCAACTACAATATAAACAAATGAATAGTTCAGGAGCAGCCCTAAAGAGTTTAAGACAAACAAGTATTCTGAACTATAGACGAAAATTCCTGGATACTTCACGACACAAACCCATATTTAGCTTACAAAGAGGTCCGAGAGGATAAATGATCACTTGACCAAAGTAACCGTGAGAAGACATTTACGTTCGGAAGTGAATAACACCCTAAAGCTAATAGCTGTGTAGTCACACAGGAACGATGCAAATATTAATTCAATTCATGTGGGAAAACAGTTGAAGATCTACGACAAGACATTGTGGTCATTTCCAATCACTCTTGACTCGTGGTGCGTGTAATCCAGATTCCCTGTAAACTTCATGTTGTCCCGTCCACACCTACGGTTGGGCAAATTATCCCTTCATGCCGTTGTCAATTCTAAACTTTTACCTTCTGGGTATCAAAAGTGATGAAATCCGATAGCAAAATAATCTGGCTCAACTGTACTGCTGATAATAATAACTTAACCCAAAATAACTGTGTTA